TAATGTGGCTAAACGGTAGTTTCGGGTCAGACTTGGCTTTCGATGCTATGTCATTTTCGTACTGTCGCTGGGCCTCCCTCCTTATCTGTGCATATTCATTTCTGGCTCTTCAACTGATCTCCTTGTTTTCCTGGGTCCTTTCCTTTCTATACCTCTTCCATTCTCTAATGCACTTAGTTTTTGCCTCCCTGCACCTTTGGGTAAACCAAGGGCTCGCTTTGGTCTTCCCATTGTTTCTGTTGCCCTTGGGAACAAACCTTTCCTCTGCCTCCTTGCATTTTGTTGTTACATACTCCATCATTTCATTTACTGTCTTTCCTACCATTTCTCTAGCCCACTGCACCTCCCACAGGAAGTTCCTCATACCTGTGTAGTCCCCCCTTTTATAGTTTTGCTTTGCCCATTCGACTCCTGTTACCCTCTCCACCTGTAACTCTACTATGTAACCAAAACTCAGGACTACGTGGTCACTAGCTCCGAGGGGCCTCTGATATGTGATGTCATCAATGTCTGAGCTACTCAGGGTGAACACAAGGTTCAGTCTTGCTGGTTCATCCTCCCCTCGCTCTCTGGTAGTGTCCCTGATGTGTTGATGCATGAGGTTTTCAGTACCACATCCACCATCTTGGCTCTCCATGTTTCGGGGCCTCCATGAGGCTCCAGGTTTTCCCAATCGATCTCCCTGTGGTTGTAACCACCCTTAACCAGTAACTTTGCTCTGCACATTTGAGCCCAGTGTGTCCACCATCGCTCTGTTGTTCTGATCATATTCCTCTCTTGGCCTCATGCAGTTCTGTGGTGGGTTATACATCAGAGCAATGACTACCTTATGTTCCCCAGATTGAAATTTGTTGTTATGTAGTCCCTTTCTCCAATCTCGTCCATGCTCTCCATTTCCTCGAAACTCCATCGGTTTTTTATGAACAGTGCAACCCCTCCTCCCCCTCTGCTCTTTTTATCTTTCCTCAGGATCTGATATTCCGGTGGGAAGACTGCGTGTTATTGTCTCAGTGAGTTTCGTTTCTGTGACTGCTATGGGGTCGACTTCTCGTTGATTCTTTCGTGCCATTCCTTGTATTTATTTGCTATTCCATCTGCATTTGTGTACCACACCTTCAGCTTCTTGTCTATCACGGTGGACCTGGGAGAATATTGGGGTTGGGGGGTGGGAGCCCTGGGGGGGTTATGGGGGTTTGTGGTGTGGGTGGGATTTGTGGTGTGGGAGGGTGAGGGCAGAGTGCCCGTAAGGAGCTGCTGTGTCAGTGGGGTTTGTGATGTGGGGGTGGGGGCAGAGGGAACAGTGTGTGGGTGTTGGTAGAGATTGTTCAGCTGCATTGGGGTTTTCACAGTGTGTGTGGGGTTTGTATGTGGTGTGTGTGGTGGTGTGTGTGTGTGTGTGTGTGTGTTGTGTTTGTTTGTTTTTGGAAAAGATAAATTGGGAAGTGATATGGCAAGTGTTACAGATGTTTAGAATAAGTAATGAGCTATTGAAAGATTTGGGATTGATTGGTACGTTTCTAGTTAGGTTGTGTAAGAAAAACAATGTTTTCCAGTGAAAGTTGTTGACAAGTGTGTGTGATATGAGAAGGTAGATTTGGTGTGATGTCAATGTTGTTTGATGTTTTTGTTGTGTGATATGAGAAGGTAGAGTTGGTGTGATGTCAGGTTGTTTGATGTTTTTGTTGTGTGATATGAGAAGGTAGAGTTGGTGTGATGTCAACGTTGTTTGATGTTTTTGTTGTGTGATATGAGAAGGGAGAGTTGGTGTGATGTCAATGTTATTTGATGTTTTTGTTGTGTGATATGAGAAGGTAGAGTTGGTGTGATATCAACGTTGTTTGATGTTTTTGTTGTGTGATATGAGAAGGTAGAGTTGGTGTGATGTCAACGTTGTTTGATGTTTTTGTAGTGTGATATGAGAAGGTAGAGTTGGTGTGATGTCAACGTTGTTTGATGTTTTTGTAGTGTATATGAGAAGGAGAGTTGGTGTGATGTCAACGTTGTTTGATGTTTTTGTAGTGTAATATGAGAAGGAGAGTTGGTGTGATGTCAACGTTGTTTGATGTTTTTGTGTGTAATATGAGAAGGTAGAGTTGGTGTGATGTCAACGTTGTTTGATGTTTTTGTATGTGTATATGAGAAGGTGAGAGTTGGTGTGATGTCAACGTTGTTTGATGTTTTTGTAGTGTAATATGAGAAGGGAGAGTTGGTGTGATGTCAACGTTGTTTGATGTTTTTGTAGTGTAATATGAGAAGGGAGAGTTGGTGTGATGTCAACGTTGTTTGATGTTTTTGTTGTAGATATGAGAAGGTAGAGTTGGTGTGATGTCAACGTTGTTTGATGTTTTTTGTAGTGTATATGAGAAGGTAGAGTTGGTGTGATGTCAACGTTGTTTGATGTTTTTGTTGTGTGAATATGAGAAGGTAGAGTTGGTGTGATGTCAACGTTGTTTGATGTTTTTGTAGTGTATATGAGAAGGTAGAGTTGGTGTGATGTCAGGTTGTTTGATGTTTTTGTAGTGTAATATGAGAAGGTAGAGTTGGTGTGATGTCAACGTTGTTTGATGTTTTTGTAGTGTAATATGAGAAGGTAGAGTTGGTGTGATGTCAAGTTGTTTGATGTTTTTGTGTGTATATGAGAAGGTAGAGTTGGTGTGATGTCAACGTTGTTTGATGTTTTTGTAGTGTAATATGAGAAGGTAGAGTTGGTGTGATGTCAACGTTGTTTGATGTTTTTGTAGTGTAATATGAGAAGGTAGAGTTGGTGTGATGTCAACGTTGTTTGATGTTTTTGTAGTGTAATATGAGAAGGTAGAGTTGGTGTGATGTCAACGTTGTTTGATGTTTTTGTAGTGTAATATGAGAAGGTAGAGTTGGTGTGATGTCAACGTTGTTTGATGTTTTTGTGTGTAATATGAGAAGGTAGAGTTGGTGTGATGTCAACGTTGTTTGATGTTTTTGTAGTGTAATATGAGAAGGTAGAGTTGGTGTGATGTCAACGTTGTTTGATGTTTTTGTTTGTGTAATATGAGAAGGTAGAGTTGGTGTGATGTCAACGTTGTTTGATGTTTTTGTGTGTAATATGAGAAGGTAGAGTTGGTGTGATGTCAACGTTGTTTGATGTTTTTGTTGTGTAATATGAGAAGGTAGAGTTGGTGTGATGTCAACGTTGTTTGATGTTTTTGTAGTGTAATATGAGAAGGTAGAGTTGGTGTGATGTCAACGTTGTTTGATGTTTTTGTTGTGTGATATGAGAAGGTAGAGTTGGTGTGATGTCAACGTTGTTTGATGTTTTTGTAGTGTAATATGAGAAGGTAGAGTTGGTGTGATGTCAACGTTGTTTGATGTTTTTGTAGTGTAATATGAGAAGGTAGAGTTGGTGTGATGTCAACGTTGTTTGATGTTTTTGTAGTGTAATATGAGAAGGTAGAGTTGGTGTGATGTCAACGTTGTTTGATGTTTTTGTAGTGTAATATGAGAAGGTAGAGTTGGTGTGATGTCAACGTTGTTTGATGTTTTTGTAGTCAACATGTAAGTGAAATAAAGGTTAATGTTATGAAGAGGTGTGGTCTTGAAAAATAAATCTGTTCTTGCCGTTATTGTTGAACAATAAAGAAGTGAAGATGCCTAGGTTGATCAAATACAGTGGACCCCCGGTTAACGATATTTTTTTCACTCCAGAAGTATGTTCAGGTGCCAGTACTGACCGAATTTGTTCCCATAAGGAATATTGTGAAGTAGATTAGTCCATTTCAGACCCCCAAACATACACGTACAAACGCACTTACATAAATACACCTACATAATTGGTCGCATTCGGAGGTAATCGTTATGCGGGGGTCCACTGTAGTTTTGAAGGATGCATTAAAGAAAAATTAAGTGGAAAGAGTATGGTAGTAATAATAGAATGAAAGAATGTAGGTCAGTGGCTAAAGTGAACACATTCATATGCTTTATGGTAGCTGTATCAGCAGATGAATCAGTGGAAGATGAGCTTCATCACAGAGAAGACAAAGGAAGGATTGTTGCACATGTGTTAAGAACTTTGTGGAAAGAAATAAGTCATTAGCTGCAAAAGGATGAATGTATGAAGAATTTCTTCCTGCCAACACTTATATGAGTATTAAACATGGTCTTTAAATGTTGCAACAAGGAAGAGTTGAAGGAAATGTGAAGGCCTTGTCTGAGAACAATTTTTTTATTAACACATTGGCCATTTCTCACCAAGACAGGGTGGCCCAAAAAAAAGAAAAACTTTCATCATCATTCACTCCATCACTGTCTTGCCAGAAGGGTGCTTTACACTACAGTTGTAAAACTGCACCATTAACACCCCTCCTTCAGAGTGCAAACACTATACTTCCCATCTCCAGGACTCAATCCAGGACTTGAGTCCTGGAGATGGGAGGTGCAGTGTTTTGTAAATAAGTAAAATCAAAGGAATGAAGAATTTAGATGATGAATTAGTATGGAAGGTTTGTCTGTAATTCAGAAAACAGAATAGGGTTGGTGAGAGGGTTTTATTATCTAGAAAGATAATTCTCATTAGTCATCTGGGGTAATGTGGTGTAGGGGCTTTCAAAGATTGGTTAGAGGCATAGAAGAGGGATATTGATAGGTAGGGACTTGACCATTTAGTATACTTTTGAAAGATCAATTGGAGTGAGTGGGGTTTGGAATTTTAAGTTCTGTTGGAGAGTTATCATGGTAACATGAAGGAGTTTGTTGAGACTGTAGCTGTACATTTTTGAAGACTAGGAAGTGCTTATATATATACACGCTTTCGTTTTAGTGTGATTCTTATGGTATTTAAAATTAATAATTGGGATATAGTAGTTCTCCTTTTTACATTTTCATTATGCATTCATTGTGCATAATCATAATTGGTATATAATGAATGGCTGTATTCACCCATTATACTGTATTGTGGAATGATTTTCTGTTAAAAGTACATGTGTGAATGCATAGATTTTTATCTCTATTGCAATTTTTGCTTGCAGTGTGGAGAAAATGTTGAATACCTGACACGTTTGGGCCTGCCAGTGGTTCAGCCATATAATGAATTCATTGGTGACAGAGCATCAGTAACAAAACTACCTGTATCATTCACCATGGACTCTTACATGTAAGCAAGTGAACTAATTCCTGTCTTCTAGTAATGCTTGGTAGTTCTAGTAGCTAGGTGATGTTTGCTATATTGCAAGAGTGTAACTCTTCTATTTGTATAATTTTGTACATAATCTAATACATAATTATGTTCTGTATAAACAGTGCCAATACTTAAATGTGTCATTAGACTTTGTTAAACAAGGTAAAAATTAGTTGTATTGTATTGTTTGATTTGAATATGTGGTAAATATTATATGCTGTACAATATATTAATAATTTGCTCTATCAGGAAGCCTAATAAGAGGAAGCAAAAGAATGCCTTCCCACCAAACTTCATCCATTCCCTGGATTCCTCACATATGATGTTAACTTCACTGTTCTGCCAACAAGCTGGCATTACCTTCGTCTCTGTACATGATTGCTTCTGGACCCATGCTTCCTCAGTTGACATCATGAGTAAGGTATGAGCCCGGTACTGGTGTACTACTACTTGATGTATGCTTCCTCAGTTGACATCATGAGTAAGGTATGAGCCCGGTACTGGTGTACTACTACTTGATGTATGCTTCCTCAGTTGACATCATGAGTAAGGTATGAGCCCGGTACTGGTTTACTACTACTTGATGTATGCTTCCTACAGTGACATCATGAGTAAGGTTATGAGCCCAGTACTGGTTTACTGCTTCTTGATGTATGCTTCCTCAGTTGACATCATGAGTAAGGTATGAGCCCGGTACTGGTTTACTACTACTTGATGTATGCTTCCTCAGTTGACATCATGAGTAAGGTATGAGCCCGGTACTGGTTTACTACTACTTGATGTATGCTTCCTCAGTTGACATCATGAGTAAGGTATGAGCCCGGTACTGGTTTACTGACTACTTGATGTATGCTTCCTCAGTTGACATCATGAGTAAGGTATGAGCCCGGTACTGGTTTACTACTACTTGATGTATGCTTCCTCAGTTGACATCATGAGTAAGGTATGAGCCCGGTACTGGTTTACTACTACTTGATGTATGCTTCCTCAGTTGACATCATGAGTAAGGTATGAGCCCGGTACTGGTTTACTGCTTCTTGATGTATGTAATCCTTCCTGGTGCACTCACACACTACTTCTACTTTCATGAGTAAAAGGAACTTTGTCTGGCTTCCTCTTAACAAAACAATGTTGAATGTAGAACTTTAATATTGCTTACATGACCAATCTTTATAGTATTTTCTAAATTATTTTTGCCATTCTCCATCGTAATGTATCCATTTCTTTTTTTTTTCAGCAAGTAGGCCCAAAAAGAAAGAAAGAAAAAATCCCCAAGAAGAAAATACTTTCATCATCATTCAACACTTTCACCTCACTCATACATAATCACTGTCTGTGTAGAGGTGCTCAGATATGACAGTTGAGAAATCTCTCCAAACTGTCAATACCCCAGACCCCTTCTTTAAAGTGCAGGCATTTTACTTCTTATTTCCAGGACTCAAGTCCGGCTAAATCTATAATAACCAGTTTCCCTGAATCCCTTCACTAAATATTACCCTGCTTACATTCCAACAGCTCATCAAGTCCCAAAAACCATTCGTCTCCATTTACTCCTATCTAACACACTCACACGCTTGCTGGAAGTCCAAGCCCCTCACCCACAAACCCTCCTTTACTCCCTCCCTCCAAACTTTTCAAGGACGATCCCTACCCCTCCTTCCCCTACAGATTCATATGCTCTCCAAGTCATTCTACTTTGATCCATTCTCTCTTAGTTACCAAACCACCTCAACAGTCCCTATTCAGCCCTCTAATACTTTTAGTAACTCCATATTTCTTCCTAATTTCCACACTCTGAATTCTCTGCATAATATTTGCACCACACATTGCCCTTAGACAGGAAATCTCCATTGCCTCCAGCTGCCTCCTTGCTGCTGCATTTACAACCCAAGCTTTACTTTCATACATTCCCTTCTTTGCCTTCATATATAACATTTTTGTCTCCACAGATATCTCAACACACCACTCACCTTTTTTCCTTCATAAACCTATCCACTGACAAGTCAACTCCCAAATATCTGAAAGCATTCACCTCTTCCATACTCCCTCTCTCCAGTGTGATAACCAGTTTTTCTTTATCTAAATCATTTGATACCCTCATCACCTTACCCTTATTTATGTTCGCTTTCAACCTTCTACCTTTACACACCCTCCCATACTCGTCTACTAAGGTTTGCAACTTTCCTTTAGAATCTCCCATAAGCACAGTATCATCAGCAAAAAATAACTCTCAACTCCCATTTTGTACTTGATTCCCCATACTTTAATCCCGCTCCTCTCCCCAAAACCCTAGCATTTACTTCTTTTGCAACCCCATCTATAAATATATTAACAACCATGGTGACATTACACATCCCTGTGTAAGACCTACTTTTACCGGGAAGTAATTTCCCTCTCTCCTACACACCCTAACCTGACCCTCACTATCCTCATAAAAACTCTTTACAGTATTTAGTAACTTACTACATATTTCATATACATGTACTTGCAACATCTGCCACATTGCTCCCCTATCCACTCTCATATGCCTTTTCTAAATTCATAAATGCAATAAAAACTTCCCTACCTTTATCTAAATACTGTTCACATATGTGCTTCAATGTAAACACCTGATCTACACATTCCCTACCCACTCTAAAGCCTCCTTGCTCATCTGAAATCCTACTTTGTCTTACCTGTAATTCTTTCAGTAATAACCCTACCGTAAAAATTTCCTGGTATACTGAGTAAACTTCTTTCTTTCAATGTATCAGCCGTATCCCACCAAGGTGGGGTGGCCCAAAAGGAAAAACGAAAGTTCCTTCTTTTAAATTTAGTAATATATACAAGAGAAGGGATTACTAGCCCTTTGCTCCCGGCATTTTAGTCACCTCTTACGACACACATGGCTTACAGAGGAAGAATTCTGTTCCACTTCCCCATGGCTACTCAGTAAACTTTTTTTTTTTTTCAACAAACTGGCCATATCCCACCAAGGCAGGGTGGCCCAAAAAGAAAAACGAAAGTTTCTCTTTTTAAATTCAGCAATTTATATGGGAGAAGGGGTTACTTGCTCCCGGCATTTTAGTCGCCTCTTACAACACGCATGGCTTACGGAGGAAGAATTCTGTTCCACTTCCCCATGGAGACAAGAGGAAATAAACAAGAACAAGAACTAGAAAGAAAATAGAAGAAAACCCAAAGGGGTGTGTGTATATATATGCTTGTACATGTATGTGTAGTGTGACCTAAGTGTAAGTAGAAGTAGCAAGACGTACCTGAAATCTTGCATGTTTATGAGACAGAAAAAAGGACACCAGCAATCCTACTATCATGTAAAACAATTACAGGCTTTCGTTTTACACTCAATTGTCAGGACGGTAGTACCTCCCTGGGCGGTTCCTGTCTACCAACCTACTACCTAGAACTCAGTAAACTTATTCCCCTATAATTTTTACAATCTCTTTTGTGACCCCTTCCCTTTATATAAAGGAATTATACACACACACTGCCAATCCCTAGGTATCTTCCCCTCTTTCATACCTTTATTAAACAAAAAAAAAAAAACCACTGCATCACTGTATCCCCCCCTGCTTTTAACATTTCTGTCATGATCCTGTCAGTTCCTGCTGCTTTACCCCCTTTCATTCTACATAATGCCTCATGCACCTCCCCCACACTCACATTCTGTTCTTCTTCACTCCTAAAAGATGGTATACCTCCCTGGCCGGTGCATGAAATTACCACCTCTCTTTCTTCATCGACATTAAAAAGTTCCTCAAAATATTCCCGCCATCTCTGCCCAATACCTCCAGCTCCCCATCTACTAACTCTGTTTTTAACTAACAGAGCCATTCATTCCCTAGGCTTTCTTAACTTGTTTATCTCACCCCAATTATTTTTTCTTATTTTCATCTAAATTTCTTGACAGTGCCTCTCCCACTCTGTCATCTGCTCTCCTTTTACACTCTGTCACCCCTCTCTTCACCTTTCTTTTACTCTCCATGTACTCAGTTCTTCTTATAACACTTCTGCTTTGTGAAAAAACTCTCATAAGCTACCTTTTTCTCTTTATCACACCCTTTACTTCATCATTCCACCAATCACTCCTCTTTCCTCCTGCACCCACCCTCATATAGCCACAAACTTCTGCCCCACATTCTAATACTGCATTTTTAAAACTATTCCAATGCTCTTCAACCCACCCCCTCCCCCCCACTACCCATACTTGCACCAGCCCACCTTTCTGCCAATAGTTGCTTATATCTCACCCGAACTTCCTCCTCCCTTAGTTTATACACTTTCACCTCCCTCTTACTTGTTGTTGCCACCTTCCTCTTTTCCCATCTACCTCTTACTCTAACTGTAGCTACAACTAAATAACGATCCGATATATCAGTTGCCCCTCTATAAACGTGTACATCCTGGAGCCTACCCATCAACCTTTTATCCACCAATACATAATCTAACATACTACTATCATTACATGCTCTATCATACCTTGTAGTTTATTTATTTATCCTCTTTTTCATAAAATGTGTTACTTATTACTTCTTTCTACACATAGCTCAATTAAAGGCTCCCCATTTGTGCTTATTACTCTTTAGTTATTTGCAGTTTCTTTGTGTAATAAATCTGTTGTCAATTATTTAGATAGTAGACCCTTGAGTATTGCATGGATTGTGTTCCTGAAAATTGGTGCTTAAATCAAATTAACATTAACCAAGATGAAGAATATATGGGGTGTATAAATTTACATTTTTTGAAATTTCAAAAACAAATATTTTTTTTTAAAATAGTCTTAAAAGGTCAAAAGACTTACCTTAAATTCTGGCTACTGTTACATGTGGCCTTCAGTACCTGTACATGGGTGTTAGCCGACTGCTGTTGAGTTGCATTTTGGGAAGGAGGATCAGAGGACCCTAATGTAAATAAGTCAGACAGTCTTATGACTAGATTTGTTGAGTTATCCTAGGTTACTGACTCTGCAGGTTATTAATTCAAATAAAATTCTCATCATCACCTACCATCACCTGCCCTCAGCATTGCCAAATAAGCTACAAGGAAGAGGGCTAATACAGCATGGTATACCACCACTTATCTGGAAAACACTGAGTCTCTCTCTGTTGTTAAAGAAGAATATATGGGAATCCCAACAAGTTGTACAGTACTGTGGTTGACAAAAGACTTTACAATTGCTGCTTGTATTTTATCAACCAAAACCTGAGCATGTATTCCATTCACTAAAAATAGGCAGAACTTAATATAGCAGAGGAGAGTTATTAAATGGAGAGTTAGAGGTATTAGGAAGATGGAGGAAATATATTGAGGAATTGTTAAATGTTGATGAAGATAGGGAAGCTTTGACTTCATGTATAGGGCAAGGAGGAATAACATCTTGTAGGAGTGAGGAAGAACCAGTTGTGACTGTGGGGGAAGTTC